AGTAAAACAGGAAACACATACACGTAATGACACAGACTCAGAGATGCGCACTAAACACAGACCTACTACACTAAGGGAATGCACAAGCAGGGAAGACACCAACCAGAGGGAACACCACTAAACCCTAGAAAATACAAAACCATCAAAAGTAAAAGTACATAACCAAAAACACTGGGTCACTGACCCAGGACCATGACAAATTTGTCACATATTTGATACAAATCTCTTAGTTAAACTGACAGCATATCTTAAAAACATAGAAGCTTGCATTTGGCTGTAAAAATCTTCTAACCAGATATTTAGTCTGGATGGCTTTGCTGAAAAATCTCTGAGTCATTTTTGAACAGGATATATCCTTCAGTGTTCATATTAAATTAATATGTAGTGTGTGCAATATTGCTAAAATGAGAAACATCTGTCTAAGTGGTCCTAAAAAACTAGTTCATAGATTAAATACTTCTCGGCCGGATTACTGTCATTCATTATTATCAATTTCCCCAAAATATTTCCTAAAAACCTTAAAAATGTTACAGTGAGAATATTGACAGAGATGAGAAAGAGAAACAATATTTCTCTCATAACATACTCTCTATAGTATTTAAAGGTAGAATGGGAGGCAGAGCCTTCAGCTTTCAGGCCCCTCTTCTGTGGAACCAGCTCCCAGTTTGGATTCAGGAGACAGACACTATCTCTACTTTTGATAAAGCTTATAATCAAGGCTAGATCAGGTACCTCCTTTAGTTATGCTGCTATAGGTTCAGATTGTTCTAGGAAGTCATGTGATCCACTGTGATGTACTGAGCATTTCGTCTTTACTCTTAACTCCCCATATATCACTGTAACATGTCATCACATCGTTCTCTTCTTTCTACGTTAGTCTGTGATTTATCTGCTTCATGCTCTCTTTTTTCTCTTTTCTCTCTCCCTCACCCTAAACCAGTCGATGCAGATAGCTGTCCCTCTCTAAGCCTGTTTAAATGTAGTTTTTCCTTCCTATTGTCATCAAGTGTTGCTTATAGACAGTAGTTTGATTGCTAGAGTTTTCTTCAGAATGCTGCAGGGTCTTTAACTAAAAGTATAAAGCACCTTGAGGTGACTTTTATTCTGATTTGGCGCTATGTAAATTAACCTGATTTGAAACTTTTGCAATAATGGGTTTCTTAATAATAATAATAATAACAGTAACAGTTTATATTTACAATGAAAGAGAGAAAATGATTGTAATACATAATAATTAAAAAAAATTAAGACATTCATTTTCCCACAGTGACAGCTGATCCTCCTGGGATTAAATAAGGACAAAAAAGTCAAGCATTATATTGGAGACAGCAAACAAAATGTTTCTCTCACC